TGGAATAAATGAAACAGGATTCGGATCTGTAACCTAACAGTTAGATCCCACTAGCCATAATCCAAATTGTTCAAATCACTTTTAATATTCTTTTCTTTAAAATGATTTTTCAGAGTGTAGATTTTACGCTATTTTCACATAATTCATTGTTTTTCATGTCATTAGTTATATTTATATTTATATTGTTTGCTTAAAGCTGGGATCACCGGGTAAGCAATAGTGAGGTTAGACACAGGGTACTAGGGAATGTTGGTAAATCAGTTGATAAGTTTGTGAATCTTCATCGACTGAGATGGTTGGGGCCACGTGTTACGTATGCCTGAACACCGATTCCCACGACGTGCAATGCTAATCGGTGTTGGAGATAGAAGAAAGTTAGGGGCGGTCAAACCAAAACGTGGCATCAGTCCTTGAAGTCACTGACAAGTGAACTGAGCCATGCTGGTAAGTGTAAACTACCTGGTTGGGGACCGCGAGACGATAGCAACCGATGGTTAGAGACCCTGAATGACATGACTGAAAATCGTTTGCAATGGCGCAGGTGCATTCACTCTTTGTAATCTCCTAAATTCTAATCTTCTGAATTCTTCATGTCCCTTGTTTTTTCCTCTTTCCAAATTTATTTCACTGGATTATACTCCTTGAATAACATCTTCAAACCCTAATCTTTCCGATTACTGCTTATACTTTTACTATCTCTATCACTATGGGATTTGAATCGACAATTGTATCTTTGTGCTAACGTGGTACGGCAATTTGAACTGATGTATGTACGTAAGAAGTTCTACGTTGTTGTTGACTGACTGACTGACTAACATTTTATTATTATTATCCAACTTATAATTGTTTTCTCTGTTTTTCTATTCTTCATATTATAGATTGTCTTTTGTCAAAATCAGCACCAAATAGTCCATGTTTACAAAAAAATGATTTTCCATATGGTAGAATATCTTTACGTCGTCGTGCTATTCCACGTACTCCAATAATAACACCATCTAGAAAAGTATTAACACAATCTAATAATCGTTTTCATAAACAATTTAATTTATTATCAACTTCTAGAAATAAATCGAATGTATCGATTACTGATAATCTATCAACATCTAATTTACAGTCTTGTTATAATGATAATACTAGTAGTAGTAGTAGCAGCAGCAGCTGCTGCAACAGCAATAATAATAATCTAATCACTGAAATTCCTTCACAACCATCATCATCATCGTCAGCAGCAGCATCAGCTTCATCTGGTGACGTGAAAATTCAATCCATTGTATATTAATCATTGTTATTATTGAATAAATTCAACAGATAATATATATATGTACAAAGACTATTAGCATTTTTTTCTTCTACATTTTCATTTCTATCTTATACTCTACATTGTATGTTACTTATGTGAATATTTAAAAATACATGAATTCCAATCAATAATGATTAGTATCAGACAAGGTTTCTGTGTGGATATTCTTAGTAATTTCAATAATTGAGATCATAAATCCATTGAAACTATAGACCATCAAAGCACTGGAGTTCCACAATAGAACAAAACAACAACCATCCAGTACTTTCAAGTTTTTCTCATGATGATCTAATTACAATTGATTTATTGATCTCAATTATTGAAATTACATCATGATTGATTACCTTAAAGTATTATTAAACCAATACACATAGTTATCTAATTGATTTTCTCTTATTTTATTTAATTAGTAATACTACTATCAGCAATAATAGTAGTATCTTTCGGGGGGGGGGGCGGTAAATAAAGAGACAATGAGAATTGTATCCGATTATATGTTTATTGATCATCTTCAATTCTCTTTCTCTTTCTATTTCACTATTTTTTGTTTCATTCTTATAAAATAAATTAATTTTGTAATCATAACTGGATACAATAAACATATCTTGTCCTTTTTTTCGTTCTATTACTTTATTGAATGGTACTTTTTATAGTTGAAACACGTTTGTTAAAAACATTTGACTATCATCCAGTTGAACTCCTTGTTCGAGTCCTTCTTTATTTTCATTCTTTCGATTTTGGTCAACCGGATGGTATTTTATAATAAGAGTATGATTAATATCTAAATCATCAGGAAAAACGTTACTTTTTCTTTTTAATTTTCTCTTCTTTTTTTTCTTTATTCACATCTTTTGTATGTAATTTCTGTTTGTTTTTCTTTTCTTTTTTACTTTCGAATTTCTCTTCTCTTGTCTTCTTTATTCACTTTCTCTCTTCTTAGTTTTGTTATTCAACTTATTTCTAATCACTTTCTTGTATTATTATCTAATCATCATTTTGGATTGAATACTTGTAAACTATATAGAATTGATGTGTAGTTTTCTATTGTGTATGATGTACATTTCTATAGGCATAGATACCTACACATAGTTACTTAAGAAGAAAAAAGGTAAACGATGGTGATTAGTAATAAAAGAAATTATTCTATCGTCTTATTCTTCTTCTTTTAATAGTAACTAAATTTTTTACAGTTATTGTTTGTGTTTTTAGTGAATTCATTTATTGATGTGTGTGTGTGTGTGTAGTTGTGTGGTGTATATTTAAGTTGATTAATAATAATAATAAAAAGAAAATTGTGTTGGTTATATGAGCATGATGATAAAGTTGTAGTTGAATGATAAGTCAGTAGTTGAAGAGCTTGACTTTTAATCATTACGTCGCAATTTCAAATCTCACTAGGTTGTGTTATTAATTGACTCAAAGCTGGTTACACAAATTTTCACTTGACATATGTGTCTTATTAATTACTAGTATTACAAAATTGGATAGCGTAGAAGATAATAACTCGAAAATATCTCCAATTCATAGTTTTAGTTTGTGAAATCCAGTTTCGTAATTGTCTATCTATTCAGGGAGTTTGTGGTGATTATTGAATGTGATTAATAATACCACGAACCGACTTAAATTAGACAGACAGCGCTTAAAAAATATAATCACTAAAAAGTTGTTTTGTCCTAGTATAGGACTCCTCAACACTGCTCATCCACTTTGGTCTCACTGTAAATGTTTACTCTTTGAATCACTGGACCAGTATGCAAACATATACATGTCTAACCTCAACCTTGAATCAATTCACGACATTTCATATCTCCCTTTGCCACTCATCTCTAGTAAGGTGAACAGTCAACATGACTAACTTGTTGTTGGGTGGAGGTTTGTTAATGTACTTTTTCCTGATGATTGATGTTGAATCTTCCAATGTTTGTTTTCACATTTTGATAAAAATTCAAACATTTGATTGTGAAGTTGTTACTTGTCATATTCATTAGGTTGAATTGAATTCGTATATCAACCCAATATCTTACTGGATGTTCAAATTACTTGTTAGTAGTAGTGCACAAAATTGTTGTTGACTCATATTAATTGAAAATCTTCAGTGTGTTTAAGCCGGTATTCTAGTAAATCTGAATTGGATTGATATAATAATATTTGGATTATACATATTGTGTCTATTTCATCAATTAAGTAGTATATTCAGATGGATAATTAACTATTCAATGTCTAATTTCGTTACATATTTCATGATCTATCTTGTCAACCTTGTACGTAATGCTTCTTTTTAGCTTATCAAAACACTCATATTGTCTGTAATCCTTTAACTGAGCTATTGAAGTTATCCATTAGTGAATTTATGACAAACTATGATATCAATCGCGAATAGATATGCTTTAAAATCGATTATGGTTGCGTAGATTCAATCACTTTCTTTATCTTACTTTAGATGTTCAGTTTCGCTATTCCTTTGTGCATACTTTCTTTTCATTTCATCTTATTGAATCATATTCTCAATATTCAATCATCTTTATTATCATTGCTACTACTACTACTACTACATGATTTCCATCTCTATTACTATTCATCTGGTTAGTTTTGTGTCGGCATTTCAGTTTAACCTGAGAACTTGAACGGACTCGAATTTGGTATCAGACTGATAGTTCATTATAATTAATGGGCTGAAAACCAACCTTGTTCGTTAAATATTGTCAAACCAATTTGACTTCTATTATTGAACTGTAAAGCATCCTGAAGTTGATTACATTTGATATATGTTTATTCAATTCTCATTATTGTGAGATGTATTATATAGAGCTACATGTAGAGATAGTATACTATGTCTTTGAATTTGTAGCCTATGTACTTGTCACTATTCAATATGTGAGTGATATATCTAGCACTTTTTTCATTTATGTAATGACACATAAGAGGACAATTTTCATGGAGAATTTCATTTCAAGCTCTAACTTGTACGTTGAGATGGTCTACAGTGGTGTATTTACAGAAGGCATATGTAGATAGGTTCAGATGATCAAAATGTAGTTACTAGTAGTGAGAACTGCACTCGTATGTAACACTGATGCACGAAATGAACGGAAAAATACTCGTAAATGCTATAATGCAGTTTTATTGAAGATTAAAAAAGGATGCTCTTTTCCGTACCTTGTACAATCATGCATTATCTATGGACCTTACAACGTAGTTTTGAAATTCCGTGGTTCGATCACTGGTAGGGTCATAGGTTCACAATAATGAATAGTTTGATCCTAAGACTAAGCAGCTGTCTATTAAAACCTAGTCATATTACTTAGATCAGTCCATAATTCAAGTCTTCATAAGTACTTTATCGTCATAACACATGTGCACACTAGTAACTAATTTTTAATAGTAATTCACGGATTTCTAGTGGGCTTCCCTATTTATGTAGAGTGTAAGACAAATACTCACCAGTGGCATTGAAAGATAGTTATACAGTGTCGCAAATTAATTTAACTTAGAAATTCAAACTACTGGACGCCGACCTAGTGCTTCTTTCCAACCTATTGAATCTTGTGAATTTACTCAACTTATGACGTAATGGGTTATTTGTCTCAGTTCAATATATTTTCTATAATTTGTATCCCCTCACTTAAACATAAATTATTATAGTTACTGAGAGAATATTAAGATTGTTTTTTATTTCAGGTCGTTTTTGTTAATGGTCTTCATGGATTCTCCCAACGTCAGTAATAAGCAGATCTGGCCATTAGTGGATGTTAATTCAGACGACGAAGCATGTTGGGATGATAAAGATTTAATTGCTGAATATGATAGAATTGATTCTCTTGTTCAGGTAAACGATTTTCCACTTCTATATTGACGATATGTTTTTCACAGAGTTGTTTATTTCCAATCACGTTTTTTTGTCGTCGTCACGATAATACTGCATTACCTATGGAATTTATTCATCAAGTACATGTTTGTATATTTGGACCTTCGAGGGACTTAATCTCGGTGGTTTTAAGTCTAGCAATGCTACCTCATTTGCCTAAACTGATATGGGTAGAGTAGAGTGGAACTCAAACCTGCTATGATTGATGTAATCACGAGTTCTCCTAATTTGCGGACAGGACGAATACTCAGTGACAGAATGATCAAATCAGCTAATTATTCCAATACGTCCCAGTCCCGCTGACTAGAGAGAGAAGTTCGAGTTCAGGATAGGGAAGTATATTCTACAAGCAGCCAGGAGCACGAACGACAACAACAAGCACAACTCAAGCGTATATATACAGCATAAAAATGTCCTAGGGAAACGATACAAAATAGCATATTAAAAGAGACAACGAACCAATGACATTTAAAGTCCTCCCAAGTGGGAAATACTACATGAAGGTGAAAACGGGTGCCTTTGACGCGAAAACAAGAAATTCAAATTTACAATATAAAATTGCAAAACTAAGACATTTATTAAATCAGTTCTGGGGATTTAACATTCCTACCTCCAAATGCCTTGGTACGGCCGAGAGTAGGGAGAGTCAGCTCTCCCTCTCGAAATGCTCTCAAGTGGCCGCGTGCATACAACCACTGCCAGGGAAGTTCTACTCACTGCCTTCTCGCATCATGGGTGTTGTTTACGAAATAGAGAGGACGAAAAGCGAATGTCCGACAGAGGCTTCAACCGGATTAGTGGATATGGAGGATCCACCTAGGGACTTTGGAAATCCCTGGTTCCAAACCACTGGTGCACATGGGACCCAGTATCTTGAAGGGATAAATGGTGTTTCAACCTATTGTTGATCACTGGCTACCATGGGACTGCATCTCGTGACGTTGTTCTATTTCCTTTTGGGTTAGACCTTTAGGTCAAAGGCTCTGGGTGTGGTCCTTTAAGAAAACCACCTACTTCGGTGTGGGCACCCAAGCAGTATCATATCCCACACACAAATCGAATGACTTATGTGGCTCATATCTGTTTGATGCCTCGTTGTACCAATGTTTATGTATTTAAATAAGTAAAGTAAAATAATTTAACATTCCCAACAAAACCTACAGTCTAATATTTAAAAACCGAATGCTTTCACCTTTCAGTCATCAGTATACTTATATATTTTTTTGAAATTACAGACATCTTTTAAAATCTACATTGAATATCGTTGTAATCTTTTTGCAAAACAAATGAAACGTGTGATTCAAAACGATTAGGTGTTACTTTGATTCGAATAAGGATGTATCATCATTGGTAAATGACCAAATATAATTAATGAGTTTTATTGTTGAACTTGAACTAGTTCACATAGGATGATCGCATCACATATTACTTAGCTGATAGAATTTTGTTTAGGTTGTCAAATGGCTAAAAGTTTAATTTTTATTTATCAACCACTTAGTCTTATTGTTATGACCCACTGTCTAATATCACATGACGAAAACGCTATTTGGAATCCGTTTACTACAGCGCCAACAACTGAGTTCTGAAATTGGTTCACGATTCTTTAACCTTTTTTTTGCCTTGTATTGGAGTCGATGAATCAATAATCAACCCCTAAAACACGAGTATTCTACTTCAAATATACATAGTTTATATACAGATATACCCGATCTCATCATGCCTTAAAATGAAAATTATTAATTACACATGATCAAACGTCTGGGAATAGAGAAGATTGTAAATAACAAACTGGCAACAGATTAACGATAGTAAATCATATAACCATAGTTAGTGTGTCAATCGAAAGCTCATGATAAAAAGAATATATATAATAGTAATCCTTAAATTAATCTTGAACTCTACCATTCCTTCAACCTTCATCGAATATAATACTCAGTGAACGCTTGCTTCAATGCAGTTTTATCTAAAATAGTAATAGATTATAAGATAAGTAGTTGTAGGTAAATCATAACATGACTTAGATGTATCAAGTGATTGATTATTGAACTGATTCTTGTAGGTAAATACAGATTATTTATTCAGAGTCACGCTAGATTGATTGATTTCTGCTATTTCTTCATTCATACCTTCTTTCCAAACTTTTTTCTCATTGTTTAGTCCTTCTTATTATTATTGTTATGATCGTTACTCCATTATTTCTACTGTTTTGCTATTCATGTTATCACTTTTGTTGTTGAGCTAATGTAGTACGGGAACTTAAGTGGATATATACAACACTTGTATTAGGCTTTAGTTGATTACAACTAACTTGATCACTTTTATAAAGAAGCAAATTCATCTTTAAATTGTTTTGGTATTTTTTATATTTATTTTACTTTTTTTTAGGATAAATTAACAAGAGAACTGAATAAAAATGCAAAACACAAGCCCTATGGAATCAGTGGAAATTTCCATAAAAATTTAAATAAAAATTCATCCAGTACGTGTAATAAATCGAAGGTCTGTTACGTTTCGTTTAATCATATTTTGCCGTATATATATGCCAATTACTTTCTGTTCCCGTTCTTTCCTTCTGGATCTTTCACTGAAATACATTCTATTATTGACCATCGTTATATACTACTTATGAGGATGTAAGTAGCTCATACCACACTCGTCCTCACTTTAAAATATTCGTTCTTGCACTGGTCAGTCAGTCAGTTAGTCATTAACAACGTAAAACTTCGTACGTACGTACATCAGTTCGAGTTGCCACACCACCTTAGCACAGAGATGCAGTTGTCGATTCAAATCCCGTAGTGGTAGATGTAGCAAGAGTATAAGCAGTAATCGGGAAGATTAGGGCTTGAAGATGTTATTTAAAGAGTATAATCCAGTGAAATAAATTTGGAAAGAGGAAAAAACAAGGGACATGAAGAATTCAGAAGATTAGAATTTGGGAGAACACAAAGAGTGGATGCAGCTTCACCATTGCAAACGATTTTGAGCCATGTCATTCAGGGTCTCTAACCATCGGTTGCTATCATCTCGTGGTCCCCAACCAGGTAGTCTACACCTACCAACATGACTCAGTCCACTTGTCAATGACTTCATGCACTTGTGCCATGTTTTGGTCTGGCCGCCCCTAGCTTTCTTCCAACCTACTCCTATACCACTGAACATCGCACGTCGAGGTAGTCGTTGGTCGGGCATAGGTAACACATGTCCCAGCCATCTCAACTGATGAAGTTTCACTACGTCATCAATTGATTTGCCATCCTTGCACTGGTTCTGCTCACCGTACCACATCCCTCTTTTCTGCAGTCTGTGCCACGCTCGCCGTCAAAATTTCGAGTCAACGGCGCTCTGACTTTCATAGCTCCGTCGACCTGCCGGGGTAACTACATCCGATATCCACCCGGCACCTAGAACTTTCAACCCCTCCCCTCCAGCGACCTGTTCAGCCATCTACATTCGATGTCCACCCGACAACCGCACGTCTACGTCGACAGCACCCGTCACAACCAACGCCGCCCCGCCAGAACACTCCACACGACGTCAGTCCTCTGCACCTGACCGCCCAAACTGGTACCTCAGATCCAGGCCCACAACGGCGGCCGCGGAACAGCACCCTCCCTCCTCCTTCTTGGCAGCGACACCAAATGTACCTACACAAAGACTCATACATATATATGTCGTGTAGAAGTTTGCGTCATATTTAACCAATGACATGTCTCGTGCCCGACTCTGATGGTCAGCTGGGCTTGGTACATAAATACCATTATATATATATATATATATATATATATATATATATATATATATATATATATATATATATATTGCGATTCCGTAAGTTAAGAAGCTTTATTATTGCGCACAAATTTTGTGATTGATAAATTTGAATAAAACAAAACGAAAGAATCAACATGGAAGACTATCGTTGTGTATTTTCGTCATTCAGGTACACCATAATAAAGATATTCATGGAGAAAATGTCGAAAATGTCAATAGCAATCCAGTTTGTGACTTCCAATGGATTCCGCCGTGTTTAAAACCTCCGCCTCAATTATTTTCTAATTTGGCTTCACCAAGGTATTTTGTGCAAATCTCTATTTCGTTCAACCAATTATTGTATTTTATATTCAAATTAACTTTTGCCAACCTTTCGATAAATCTTTAGAGAAACACCCATTTCACTGAACTAAATATAGGGCTCACCCAAACAAGTTCTATTCTGTTTCATATAGTAAATAACGACCTATTTCTAATGTCAATTTGCACATTATTAAGATATTGATTGAAACTTGTAAACATGATTTTGAATTTTTCAGAGATCTAACTAGTGCTTTCAAATTAGATTTGTGACCAACAACATAAGTGCTGATAGACATCATTGCTCAGGGAAATACTCTCTGGCATATAAACCCTTAGTAAAATTATTTATTATTCACAAGTGCCTAGTTTCCACGAGAACATTCCGTGGACATTTTCCTCTTCCGTAATATTCCTGTGTCAGCCAATTTTATTGTCTTCTGTTTACCAGAAGTGATGGTGACAAACTGTTTGTCAGAAATGGTGACCGATCAGATAGTGGCAAATTTTAGTGTGGTAATCTAAAACAAAAGCTATCAAGGACTTTCTTATAAGTCAGAACTACATTTTGCTGACATTTATTTATTTAGATTGCCTATTGACCACAACTTGTTGATCAACTCATTAGCGCACACCATATCGAGCTTAATGAGAAAGCTAACTAATGGAGTTGAAATTCAGTTTTCCCCAGTGCTGCTTTTGTGTTCTGTGTTGTGTGACAATCTTTTGCAACTTAGATATTCTCGCGAAGAATGTTGCTACAAAATTACTGGTCTTCTCATCAGTTTCAACTAATTATATCATGTCACCTTCATATATTGACGATTCGAACACTGAGAAATGAATTCACAGTTCCTATGCCGTACGACAGGCTAATATATTGTACACGGATAAGCAGTAATCGAAACAAACAAGTAGAAATATAAGTTTACAACTATGAAACAATTGCGTAGTTTCACATCCTGAGCTCTTTTAAAATCATTATCTCAACCATAAACGAAGCGGAAATTAAGTAACCACATGGAATATTATTTCTGAAGACCGTAATTAAAAAGCTAAAAAATATGCGAATATGCATTATTGTCACTGACGCCTAGGAATAGTATTTGTTACTTTGATTAGGATTCACATTCGTTTGACGGATCGAAGAAAAGAAATCTTAACCTCTTCCAATGGTCTAGTTTGACAAAAAATAGTTTCATAGAAAAATGTAATAGTCGCATTGCCATGCTTTTCTGAAACGAAATATTTTTTCACGTTCACTTAGTAAAGTTATCTCAAATCCTACCGTTTAGTGTATACTTGGAGTTATCATATGTTTAAATTATTTTGAAACGTTTGTTATACAAGTTTACAATTCTGTTTTCACTCATGTAGGGACAGTCATCTTCCTAGTGATGTTCAACCTTCTGTTCCTTCTCAACCAATCTTTAATAGCACGAAAAGTGACCTATCAACTATTGAACCTATACTGCGCTCCTGGTATGAAGCAGGTTACCAACTTGGTCGTTCACATGCTATGAAGTTGAAGCCAACCTCATCTGTACCTGCTGCAAACTCTTGTTAATTTTTTTTACGCCGAACGTGTACTGCTTCACATATTTTCGCACAATACTTCAGATTATCAATAAAATCCTTATTTATATTTGTATCAAGTGATGATTGTTAGTAGGAGTTGGGTAAATTCCTTTTCGGAGTGTCTGGATTATAAACTCGTTGGTTTCTGTTTTTGTTCAATATAATGCTTGAAGTGATAAAAACTGATTTTCGTTAGTTGATGGCCACCTACTCCTCTCTGTTTCTTTGTCCAAAATTTTAGTTCGGTGCTGTAAGTAGGGACATGTGTGCTTTGCTCACAACCTTCCAACATTGGCTGAAAACACAACATCTGTTTTCATTATCCTGGTATTTTCGAAGATGTACTATGTTTATTCATATCCCGAGATGCTTTACAGACAGGACTAATAAGAGCAAGGTCTAGTCCTTATAGCGTATGTGGTTAACTCCTATTTAACGTTACTGATAGTAGTCCATGGTCATGTACAGGTATGTATTGATACGCACCTACGTTTAATATTTGTTCTAGTCATCCCAGTTATTCTGCATTAAGGTGCCGTTGTCACTTTTTCACGTGTGGTCTCGAACAACCTCTCATGACATCATATTTATTTCCATCCAATTCTCATAATCTTCACCTGATCTATAGTAACTGAGAAATCGTATTACTTGCTGGGTCAATAGATTACTAGACTTCGGAGTTTTGTGTGTTCGCTTTTCTTGTAACACTGGATGAAAGCATATATGAACTAGTGTTCAAAATGCGATTAGATGTAGACTTAACAATAATGTGTACACCTGGAATCACACAACTGCTATCACTTAACTAGAGTCGACAGCGTGCGTCAAAGTAGTGTTATGTACTTTTTATTGACTAGCCTCGTTAACATCAGTAGTTGAATAACATGGTATTTTAGAAATACAGGTTTTATTCATGCACATAAGATGCATAATGACAGAAAGAATACAAAAAATCCTTTATAAAGCAAGTACTTCACCCTTGCTCTGCCCAGGATGAACTCTGACCTGAAATACTCGTAAAACATGGTGTACGACAGTTATGTGCTTGTTGAGTTATAGTTTTCTTCATGTCTGGGTTCATGGAGTATGTTGAAGATTCTCTACACTTTATGTGTGAAGTTTTACCGACCTTAGCGGAGAACTAAGTAACTTCTTTCTGCAATGGTCCGATGAATTATAATCGGTACTTTAGTGCTTATAAATAAAGAAGTTCACATCTCCATAAGCTAGAAATACTTGTATTTAAACATGGAGAGACTAAGGTATTAACATGATCTAAATATACTTTGCTAGTTTCCTTCTATTCAATCTGAATTCCTTCAATCGCTCCCTCAGTTTTTTTGCTTTTTTGCATCATGCATCGATGACCGACATAAGGTCAATGATATATTTTTCTAATTACCAAATTTATGCAAATGTCAGTCTGAGATCCCAAGGAATAAACATTTCAGCATCTCTGCAAAGGAGACACGACATTGAAGATCAATTAAAAACCCATAAAAAACAAAATTTAAGTACCTTCATAGTTTCGGACAAAAATACATTAGCGATAGCTAATGGCTTGGATCTAAATCTTACGTTGCCTGATCGGCCTGTGGCTCTTCTGTCATTACCTTCAAAACTCATGAAGTCCGCGATGTGCGACGGTTTAAACGACTATCTGCTGTCCTGAAATTCCTTCTCACCCCAACAACATGGTTCCAGGAAGGTCTACTCTTGTATAACCAACCTGTTGACTGTGGTGGACAGATGGACAAGCATCCTCGATAGCAAGGGAAAGATTGATACCTTCTACCTAGATTTCTCAAAAGCTTTTGATAAGGTTAACCATTTGTGTCTTATCAATAAGCTCAAACGACTAGGTATCAGACCACCTCTAATCGATTGACTTACTGTTACGGGAGAACTGAAGACTTTTGACGGATTAAAACCTTTTATTGTACATTAATAATTTACTGTGCTTTTGGATGTAATTGTTTTACTTAACTTTTGAACACGTTTGTTTATATCATTATTTCGGACATTTTGGTTTGGTATTTTGGTGCTCTCTTTGTCTTTGGTTTGGTATTTGGGAGTTTTGCTCCGGGAACCTACAAAATTGAAGGTTTGTTTTGTAATTGTTATAATAATTGTTGTTAGAACGACATTTGGTCGATTATTTGTGAATTACGAATAAATTTGGTATTTAAATTGGAAATTGGTTCTGTTGTTAATTTGGGTTCGTAATTTGCAAGTAGATCGATAGTCCGTACTTCAATAACTGGAACGAGCAAAACCTGGACGTAACACTTACTTCATACCTGAAAAATCGACACTTTAAGGTTGGGGTTAATTTCACTTTATCTCAGGCTATGGAATGTCCTAGTGCGGTCCTCCAGGGCTCAGTACTAGGACCTTTTCTCTTCTTGATCTACATAAATGGTCTTCCTCAACAGGTAACGTCGGAGTTATTACTCTTTTCTGATGATGTTAAACTTTAGAGAGAGATACACAATCAAGATTATATACAGGCACTTCAGGAGGATCTGACGCGACTTCAAAGTTGGGCAGACAATTGGACTTACTTTTAACATTTCAAAGTGTAAAGTACTCTATCTGCGACATGTCACAGACTACAGTTATAACTTAGGAAACTCCTCTCTAGTAGTATCCCAAGTCGAAAAAGATTTCGGAGTCCTAGTGCCCTACGATTTAAAGTCCTATGCTAACTGTGACAAAAATGCCTTCCGAGCAAACCTTGCACTGATAACATTGAAACGCATTTTTGGCCAGTTTGATGGAAGAACTTTCCGCATCATCTTCAACAGTTTAATTCGTCCCTATTTAGAGTATGGAACCATAGTATTTCCCCTCTCACTCCAAAAGGATAAGGACACTTTGAAGCGTATCTGACTGCGAGCCACGAAATCAGTTCGGGGACTCAAATTTAAACCTTATGATAAGCGCCTCAAATCACTTAACCTTTACCCATTAGATTATAGGCGTCTTATAGGTGATCTATTAATGGCTTATAGTATTCTCAACACTTCTGGACATCCTCTTAAACACCTACTTAAGCTTAGTTCGAACACTAACCTAAGTGGTAACACCCAGAAACTGCAGACACAACATAGCAACATTACTTCTACTCATTGAGAGTTGTCAAATGCAGGAACTTGCTGCCGGCCGAGATAGTCTAGGCGACTTCCCAGGAGTCCTTCAAGAGGCAAGTTGACCTATTCTTAAGGACCAAGGACAGCATCATACTATGGTTTACCAATTTCTTTTTCCTCATTATTGTTGATATACCCAGGTTCCTGCCTGGAAAATTTGGTGATTCCTTGCTACTAGATACGGAAGCCTGTTAAGCGAAAGCTTTTTCTATTCCGTCCACAACCATTTGAACCATTTTGACGACGGATTCAATTGACATATTATAAAAACATTATTTTACATATGTTATATCTTTAAACAGTAATACACTCTGAAGAATGCTATTTTAATTTCTTTTAAAGCTGCTTATCTGCGGTCAACAGGGTTCTGTAATTCTCTTCATAAGAATGTATAATGTTTGTTTTAGTTCTTCAAAGTCTCAGGTCGTAGTTGGGGCAAAGTTTTGAAGTGATGTCAACCGAGTATTTGACTTCTTAACATAATTATGGAAGAAAAGCTGAAAAGTTATATGAGTTTGTTTGCCTCTTACTGCTCCGAGGTAAATGCTGTAAAATGTAAAGAGGAGGATTTGCAGTTTTTGAGAGCAAACGTTAAAAAAATCAGCCCACTGTTATCTTCGAGTAGTATGACATTATTTTGTGCGTATTATTTATTATGCTGATTATAGATAAGTGTCGGAAAATGCTCTTTGAACATGAATCTTACGTTAGTGACTTTTCCTTCGCACTTCAAGTATCGTACTAATATTACCGTTATTCTTAGTTTCTCAACGACAGGGTCCTTAGGACACAAATTGTACTGATTCTTTCGAAATTGGTGAAAAAATCTAGTAAGTACGATGTTTTACGGGACAAAATATCAAAAGTAGACTAAACATTTTCATGCTTGTCTAAACGAATATCGATTGTTTAAGTTTTAGCAGGTTTGCATTTTATAATAAGTGTCGTCAAAGCTCCCACTGTTTTCTAATACCTAGTTTTTTATACACCTCATGCCCGTTTATTTTTTCAGTTTAAACAACGATGTTGTTTCGATATTTTTCATACTTATTGTGTGTTCCATACCCAATTACTTGGTGAATGAGATATTTTCACATTGGATTTCACGTCATATAAATTGTTTTCCACACATAGATTATTTTATCTGTCTCAGTTTACCATATACTTGATATTATGCATCCGTGTCTTCCATTTCTTGTGACTCAAGATTTGTGGGTTCTTAACTTTCCAGTTTCATGTTAATTATTCAGTCATATGAAAGTCGCTTCGTTCCTCTTTTTAGTAGTCTCATATACATGTTTTGTATACGTTTATGAAAGACACCTTTTCTGCAGTCTTTCGTTCACTAGCGTTTTTTTAGTTAAATGAACCATCAGTTTTTACTTTACATATTGTTTGGAGCATATATATTTGGTGTCCTCTTGTACTAATATTTGTGTTCAAATAAATAAATGAATGATACATACTAACGTCTGCTTTTAATACACTTCCGCACAAGCTGACAAACAGTACTATGGAACTTAGTAACACCTCATTTAGACTGAGCAATTACAACTGGGACATAAAAACTATGTTATGTTGTCACGAAAATGACCTTTGTTGCATGCTTTATGGTTAGCTGTGGGTTTTTGTTCCAGAAGGAAGACATTCTCAAATATGTCACTTGCTAAATATTTAAATCAATAGTAGTATGCAGTTGCACTCTAATCAAGTTAGTGATATTTCTCAGATCACCTGGTCATTTTCAGTGTAAGATGATTGTGAATTGTTTAAGTTTCATTCTCTAAGCAGCATGTTCTTCCGTCCTTTATCTGAAAGTGTAGAAGTTTTCAGTAGT